CAAAGCTTAACCTTTGGAGAGAAGTGTTGGAATCTAAAGGTCTTCGCCTAAGCCGATCAAAGACAGAATATATGGAGTGCAAGTTCAGTGCAAATGGAGGCCAAAACGAGTTAGGGGTGAGGATCGGAGATCAAGAAATACCAAAGAGCGATCCGTTTTCGTTACCTAGGATCTATCTTGCAAAAGAACGGAGAATTAGATGGAGATCTCAACCATAGAATACAAGCTGGATGGATGAAGTGGAAGAGTGCATCCGGCGTGTTGTGTGACCGCCGTATGCCACTGAAGCTCAAGGGAAAATTTTATAGGACGGCAATAAGGCCGGCGATGCTGTATGGCACAGAATGTTGGGCGGTGAAGCATCAACACGTACACAAAATGGGTGTAGCGGAGATGAGGATGCTTCGTTGGATGTGTGGGCACACGAGAAAGGATAAGATTAGGAATGAGGATATCCGGGGTAAAGTAGGAGTAGCCGAAATTGAAGGAAAGATGAGAGAAAATCGGTTACGGTGGTTTGGACATGTGCAAAGAAGGCCTACTGACGCTTCCGATTAGAAGATGCGACTATGGGACAGAGGTTCAGGGCCGAAGGGGTAGAGGAAGACCTAGGAAAACTTTGGAAGAGACTCTAAGAAAAGACTTAGAGTACTTGGATCTAACGGAGGACATGACACAGGACCGAGCACAATGGCGTTCTAAAGATTCATATAGCCGATCCCACTCAGTGACTTGGATTTTCCAAGTCTCCAACCGAGAAGTTTTCCTCACTCGGGAAATTAAGGGAACACTACCTCAACCTACATGCTCCACTCACAAAGCTTCAACATACAAGCTTCAACAAAAGAAAAATTCAAAGAACTTAGCGAAGAAGGCTTTGGTGTATTTAACACAATACGTTGAAATGAAGGAAAGCTTATTTATTGATATCCCCGATAAGTCACAAATATGTACATATACATGAGTCAAAATAAACAAACAAGAGGGAGCCTTCACAAAGGTTGCTTAGGAGAAGTCTCAGCAGTCGGTAGAGCCCCAGAAAGAGCAAGGCACCGGAGGGGGATCATTTGGAGCCTCAGTACTGGACAGAACCCTAGAAGGAGGAGGCATCAGAGGTTGATCATTTGGAGCTTCATTACGCGGTACAGCCCCAGAAGACGAAGGCAATAAATGCCTTTGGAACAAACCCACAAATCTCTGATGATCAAGTAAAACCTGACCATCAGATTCCTTCATCTGGTCAAGCTTCCTCTTCATGTTTGTAGCATAGTCATGTGCGAGCCGGTGCAACTGTTTATTCTCATGCTTGAGCCCTCTAATCTCCTGTTTGAGACTCATCACTTCAGCCGCCAATGATTCAACTTGGCGGGTTCGAGCAAATAGGCGTTGGGCCATATTAGACACAGAACCTGCACACTGAACACTGAGAGCCAGAGAATCCTTAACAGCCAACTCATCAGACCGTTTGGAAAGTAGTCTGTTATCTTTGGGAGTGAGAAGGTTCCTGGCCACTACCGCAGCGGTCATATCATTCTTCATCACGGAATCCCCAACAGGTAAGAGGACCAGTAGGGGAGACGAAGGATGGGCGCCATATGTTGTCTGGAGAAGGCGTAGCTGCCTCTTCAACAAGGTTCAAGTCAAAACGACGGTCGGAGGGGCCAGACATTTTCAAAGGTGTTGAAGAGAGAAGAGGTCGAACAAATCAAGATCTTAGAAGTGCAAGAATGGAACTTCTACTGGTGGAGATTCAAGTGTGCTTTGGAACTTAATGCCAGCCTCTATAAAAATCTGCACTCGATGGAGCTTCAGAAATCGAAGAGGCGTTTGCTTTCTCAAAAGCTGGGCTGCTCAGAGACCACGAGGGCCGATCTCAGAAATCGAAGAGGCACCTACGTTTCCAGCCTTGTCAGCACCTGTCAGCTTTGCGGAAATTATGGGCATTATGTCGAAGATTTCTGGTGAAGTAGAAAGCACATGAATCTTACTGTTCAATCACCCACTTCCCACACGCAACATTAGCTCATGGGTACCACAGATAACTTTGCCAAAGTTCTCTGACAAAGTTGAGACACGTGAAGCTTGCAGCTCCCACTACACCGCTCTGACCAAGAAAGGTAAAAGAATAGCAAAGAAACAGCACTAACAAAGTTTAGACACATAAATTTTGAAGGTCTAGCTACCATATTATTACCCACAAGGGTAAAGGAACAGTACCACTGCTGGATAATTGGAAAGTCCCTGTGTGTCAACCTCTGTGCTTCGTGGCAAGATAGACTAGCAAACATGCCCAACCTTTTCTCACATTCGAGAAAACACTCCCAACAAGACTGCTTGCTCCAAAATCGAAGAGGCACCGGCCTCCGAATCTCGAGAGCCAGACTCCCAACATGATTACTTTCTCAAAAATCGAAGAGACACCGCTCTCCGAATCTCGAGAGCCAGACCCCTAGCAGGATGACTTTCTCAAAAATCGAAAAGGCATCGTTCTTCGAATCTCGAGAGCCAGATCTCCGACAGGATTGCTTGTTCGAAAACCGAAGAGGCACCACTTTCCCAACTTCAAGAGTCGAATCTCCTTGGATAAAGCTTGTCTATAATCTTTACATGCACCATCAGCTTTCCAGATACCACAGACCACTTTTTCAAAGTGCTCTGACAAAGTTAAAACATGTGAAGCTGGCAGCTCCCACTACCGTGTTATGACCAAGCAGGGTAAGGGAATAGCATTACTACTTGTTGTTAGGGAGACTCCTATATATGTTGACCTCCATCCCCAACAGACAGACAGACCTGCAAAAATGCTCAACCCTTCCTCATATCTGAGAGGGCACTCCCAAAGAAGCCTTTCGAAATATTTAGCTTTCTTTCCCCCCGATAATACCTCTGCAAACAAGCTATACTAGAGCAAGAATATCTCATATCATCAGGGTTAAAAGCAAGAGTATCCCATATCATGTTTTTTCCCTGTCTTTTCCTTTGGCCTTGTTTTTACCTACAAGACAAGGAGAAAGAGAGCAATCAGTTAGCACTTGGAATCAAGCTTCCAGTCAGGAACTGACTGCCTGGAACCCCTTACTTGATTACTTACCTGGCATTGCTCTCGAGTACTCATCTTCAACATCTTATGCTTCCAGGGAAGATACCGCATCTGCCTGAGGAACATATAGGGCAAGTGAGAAGGATACAAGGAAGCATGTGGAGACAAGCGTAACAGCACACGTGCCGATACATCCACTACTATGTCAAAAGCAAAAGTATCCCATATCAGCAGGGTCGAACGTACTATAGATTTGATGGACTTGTTTTGACCCTCAAATTCTTCAGTCGGCCTTATACTCTGGAGGAAACCAGAAAACCCTCCAGCCCAGTTCAAGAATAAGCCTGTGGAAAGTTACTTCTTCAAAAGCAAAAGTATCTCATATCATATCTTCTCATTTTTCTTCTCTTTATCCTTCATGCTGCCTGCAAGATAGGGAGAATGTGAACAATCAGCCGGAACTCGAAATCAAAGTTCTGATCTGGGACTGATTGCTTGGAGTTCTGATTGCTTACCTTGTCTGTCACCTCTTTCAGCAGATCTCCTAGCTCGGCGACTTGGAGGACTCCTACTACATGGTTTGTATCGCGCTTGACCAAGCCTGAAACTACAAGTAAACTTCAAGTGAAATTGATACATTACCTTGTGCATCTCCACCAGTTAAAGATACCACCCCTGGATGGAGGAAGAGTACTTCCAGAGAAGATGCCACATCTACCTATGAGACAGATAAGGCAAGTCAAGACGATACCACACTCCGGAACTTAGAAGTTTCGTGATTACGAGATCATTCTCCCACAATATTTCCTAATGTCATTTGTACTAAATCATTCACTTGTACTCACTAAAAGAGAGCTTGAACCTATGTACTTGTGTAAACCCTTCACAATTAATGAGAACTCCTCTATTTCATGGACGTAGCCAATATGGGTGAACCACGTACATCTGGTGTTTGCTTTCCTATCTTTATCCATTTATATACTTATCCACGCTAATGACCGGAGCAATCTAGCGACGATCACAAAAAGCGACCGTTTTCGCTACCTAGGATCTATCTTGCAAGAGAACGGAGAATTAGATGGAGATCTCAACCATAGAATACAAGCTGGATGGATGAAGTGTAAGAGTGCATCCGGCGTGTTGTGTGATCGTCGTAGGTCACTGAAGCTCAAGGGAAAATTTTATAGGACGGCAATAAGGCCAGCGATGTTGTATGGCACATAATGTTGGGCGGTGAAGCATCAACACGTACACAAAATGGGTGTAGCGGAGATAAGGATGCTTCGTGGGATGCTTCGTGGGATGTGTGGGCACACGAGAAAGGAGAAGATTGTGAATGAGGATATCCGAGGTAAAGTAGGAGTAGCCGAAGTTGAAGGAAATATGAGAGAAAATCGGTTACGGTGGTTTGGACATGTGCAAAGAAGGCCTACTGACGCTCCGGTTCGAAGATGTGACTACGGAACAGAGGTTCGGGGTCGAAGGGGTAGAGGAAGACCTAGGAAAACTTTGGAAGAGACCCTAAGAAAAGACTTAGAGTACTTGGATCTAACGGAGGACATGACACAAAACCGAGCGCAATGGCGTTCTAGGATTCATATAGCCGACCCCACTTAGTGGGAAAATGCTTTGTTGTTGTTGTTGTTGTTGTAACGGAGATACATAAGGTAGAGCATCATCACCGAGGCCGGTTAGAAAAATATTTCCAATTTTGAGATCACAAGCGTGCATGGGGAGTCTTTCCCTCTCCATTGGAAAGAAAAATTATACAATGATGCTCATCACCCTATTTATCTAAATTTTGAGATATGCGTAATGAATAAACACAAATATCAAAATTTAAACTCATTTAACGTCATCAATAGGGTGACGAGCATTACCACTATTTAAAAGTGGGGAGCAAAAATGCGCCCCTCAAAATTAACGCATGCACTTGAATATTTTGATGATACTAGAAAGGTTTACATGGACTAATGAGATATTTTAACTCCATTAACCAAATTAATCTCGGAATTTCGACTAAAAGGGTGAATGCACTAAAATAATTCATTAATCTTGATTTTCGTTTATACAAGTGACATTATGGAGGAGAAATCAAACTCAAGACCTCGACTAAATGGGTGCACGCTCTTCACCAACCGAGCTACAAGCCCTTACTCGTCGAGCAATTATTCATTTCAAGTAATTCCACGTGCAAGGAACTTGTGCTAGTCTATTTACTGCACTTCTCCATTCAACTAAACTCCTGCCAAACAAGAAAGACCCCAAAGCTTCAAGCGCAGACGGAAGGCCGCGAGCATGATTCAACACAAGCTCGCACAGCTCTACATACTGCTCCTCCGGCGGATGGCCTTGTTTAAACGCTTTCCAACAAAAAAGGCGAAGCGCTTCTTCGTGATTCAACGCCTGTGCCCTATAAAACCTGTCAACACGGTATCTGATCAGCAAGTTTTCATCCCTGGTTGTTACAATGATTCTACTTCCTGCGCCAAACCAATCGCGGCTCCCAGCCAAGGCTTCTAACTGTTCTAACCGATCCACGCCATCAAGAACGAGAAGAACCTTTTTATAGCGCAGTCTGTTCAGGATTGCATTGACTCCTATATGTACATTCCATATCTTAATATTCTTATCCATGAGGATTTCCGAAATAAGTTGTTCCTGTAAAGGAACTAGGCCTTGTTTTTCATCAACTTCTTTTATGTTAGCAAGGAAGCTGCTGCCGTTGAACTGACCAGATACCCTGTCGTAAACAACTTGAGCAATTGTCGTCTTGCCTATACCTTTCTCCCCGTAAATTCCTATAATGCGAACATCGTTCACCTCCATATCCAAGCAGAGATTCATTTCCTCCACTCGGGAATCGATTCCAAATAAATCCTCGGGCACGCTTGAAAGCTTTTGGCTCAATTGATTTGATATCTCTTTGACAATCTCTTGGATAACTTTTGCCTCGTGCCTACAAAACACACAGATACGTAGTGTAGTTTAGTTTCTTCACTAAGACTGAAAATTTCATAGAAGCGAGCCACAATTTCAAGCATGTATAAAATGCACTCTGATTCTGTATAGAACAGCACATTATACAATCGAAAGCAATACAGCGACGTAATTTTCAAGGAAATTGCATGATACAGAGAAAGCGGGATCCAAATTCGAAGGCCTGGAAATGAAATCTAGCATTCACATTTCATGTCCGCTTAGTAAATGAAACAGTCTTGGTTATACTGACATACAGCGAAAAATGAACACAGCTCGAGTAACTTAAAAGCTCCAAATGCTGTTTTCAAAACACAGCCTGAATTTTTTCTCAAATATCACATAGAAAACATGACTCGATCCTCGAAAAGGACGGACTTATATGCACAATTCGAAATAAATCTCTGTTCCGGCTATCTAAAATGTGATAACTGAATACATTTTCCTCTTTTTTCAACCTATTTATGTGAAGGGTAAACAATGCCAAACTTTATCCTATAGCAGGTGTGCTGCGTATGCTCAGAATTTCCATTTGGCAACACTGTCTAAGTAGTTACCTTATTTATGTGCTAAACCATACGAGGAGTCAATCATAATTATGCATCGAACACAATCCAAATATCGTTATCTATGTGAGTTGAATATAAAACCTCACTCTAATGAGTACCACTAGGTACTACCGTACTAGACCCAGGTGTTAGTGACGATTAATCACTGTCTTTTTTTCTTCTAAAAGGGGAACCGACTAGTGGCCGAAAATATTACAGAAGTATTTCAACCTTCCCTAATCACTAACGTATGATTCACCAGCGCCAAAAATCGAATCCAGAACATGCCAACACCAGACGTTTCAACTTAACTAACAAATATAGTAGACCACAATTAAACTAACTAATTTTACCAAAAGAAAAACTAATTTTACTCCTTTTTATGCCAATAAGTGTCGATTAGGCGAGCAGAACTACCCATACGCATAAGTAATTAAATTGGTTTATGACAACTTACTTGTTATACAAATTCCACCCAGAGAGGGTGGCTGCATCTCTCAATGCACCTCTCCAACTCTCCACCTTGTCCATGAAATCCTCCTCATGCTTCCTGAACGCCTTCTCAAAATACTCCCCCCTCTGCTTCCGCACATCCGACGGATCCACATCGTAGAACACCGGAAAAACGATCTGGCCCGTCGATTTCATGCACCGGAGGATCTCCACGAGCTCGTCCAAGCGCCGCGCCGAGGCGGCGTAGTTTTTCGAGAAGACTACGATCGAAAACCTCGATTCTCCGATCGACTTGAGGATCTCGGAGGAAATGGGCTTTCCTCTCTCGAGTGCCTGATCGTACCGGAAGGCCATGATCCCCTTCTGGTCCAGGGCGGCGCAGAGGTGGTCGGTGAAGTTACGGCCGGTGTCTTTGCCGCGGAAGTTGACGAACACGTCGTATATCCACCCTTCGTTTTCGTTCTCCATTTCTTGAAATTCAGTAGCTCTCTGAGATTTTTGAGATTGGAATTCGATGGAGGTTTGGTTGTGCTTGTTGAATTATATTGACTTTGTTCTGCCGCGTTGGGAATTTGGAAACTCCATGGAATTCTCGTGCAAGATGGAGGGAAGGAAGAGAGGCATCGCCAGGCAAAAGTGGAAACTCAGCTTCTTTCCTAAGTAAACGTGTGGGAAGCGCGGAGGCGGTTCGGTTTGATGCGGTTTGACATTAAAAACATTTAGCGATTGAGAAATTTTATTTAAACTTATGTAATCTTTTTGTACATTTAACTTATTCTCTACATCTATATTATCTGCAATTAAAGAATTAATATTTCTTTAAATTCAAATTTATTACCTAAACTACCATTCCAAACCCAATTCAAAGTGTAAAATTATCTTTACACCCATTTATAAAATAAATCTCAAATTAAATTGGATCTAACAGAAAAAAAAAAAAATCCCCTTATAGCTAGCTAGCTTGAATTTGGGTACATATGAAAATGTTCTATATATTATTGGCTTATTGAATGTTAATAATTTGAAAAACTGATCAGTTTTTTAGTTGAACTGTTCCAAAATTTTCTTGAAAGTTCTCTTCTCCACAATTCGAAGCTCAAGAGGCCGGATCGAATTGCTTCCCCTCGAGACCACATAGCCATGATCCAAAAATGTTGCATCCATTTCTCTACAACATTCACTAAGAACTTTCTCTTCAACTTATCCTTTGATCTCCCAGTATATTATGTAGTGGCCTGGTTTTGGGACATCAAATCTGCATGGCTCATGAAATTGATCAGCTCGGCTTTCGACTTGCTCAATAGTTTAGATCCTTTATGGACCACCATTTGAAGGTTCTTTTCAGTGTTTTTGTCTATGTTTACTGTCAGTATTGATAGTGTTTTGTAAAAATGGTGATTTGGTATGGTAGGGTTTGATTATTAGGGGTGGGTTTATTGATAAATTTTGGTTTTAATGTTAATTTCATTTTGTACTTGATGATAATTATGCAATAGGGTAAAAAAGATAATTTTCATTTACAGTTTAAGTTGGGTGTAGAAAGATGTTATGTAGGTTCAAATAAAATTTCCCTTAGCGATTTGATTTGGTTCGGTTTTGACCAATATCAATAAAAAAACATTCAACGTTTCATGAATTTTAACTTTCCAACATTCTAATTCGATCAAAAGAATAAGTTTTTCAGAAGACAAAAAATTCATGCAAGGGTGCTATGCTAGCAAATAATTTTGTTAGTTACAATCTCATGTAAACATAAAATACAAACAAATCTTCAATTGTTAATGGTCGTAAAACTTATAACATGGTGACACTAACAATATGTTAACATGTGTAAAATAAATAAAATATATATAGTCGGTTTGGTTTGATTTTAGATGGGTTTCAAAGGTATAAAATCCGAATCAAACAAAAATGAGTATTCAGTTCGGTTTTTAAATTGTTTGACCTTTTTCTTGTCAAAATCAAACCAAACTGATCAAATGGTTCAAATTAGTCAATTTGGTCAGTTTAGTTGTTTCGGGCAGTTTGATGCTCACCCCTACCTTCATCTCATTCTAGTTTAGATGAGTATCTCTTGTAACGAAAAACAAGAAGTTCAGTACTACGGTGTAATTGTATTCTTTTTTCGTTGAAAGCAAGTCTGAACCAAATCATAGAATATGGACATTAGACACCCAAATATTTATAAATTAGTCACCGAAACCCTTGACTCTCTAACTGCAGATTACGATCAACCATTCCATCATCTCATTGTATTTGCATCTCCCATTTCTCATCAGCGGTTTCATGGCGGCAGTAAAAGAATTCGAAGCGGCAGCGGCGGAGACGGCAGCACAGAACTAGAACTCGAAGAACGGGGAAGTGAACTTCTGTTACCCAGAAGTTACTCAGAAGAGACGCATTAACTTAGCAATAACTTGACAGACAAGGAACCCGGGAAAAGCAAAGTTGCCAAAGAATCAAAACTAGCAATCCAACCAGAAAGGCTCTGAAGAATTTGACTGCATTTCCAATCATCGGATTGACTTTACCGCTTTCCCTGCGTTCGACTTCATCATAGCACTCGTAGATATCACGACATTGTCCAGTTATTACGGCACCTCTTAGTCCTACTGATGATTCATCAAAATCAGCACGGAATATCTCTTCCATGTCTTGCTCGTATACCAGACGGAGCCCACACATTTTCACCTCCAAGCCAGGGACACTGGACTTGAACGAAGCCTGAATGTGTCTACATTTCCACCACTCAAATGCACTCACTGGAAACCCGTTGCGCGATAGGTAGGACAGCCAAAGGTGATCAGACTCGATCCGTATGTCTTTGGTGAAGGGAAAAACAATGCCAGGGCTCATTGTACCTTTGTCAGTATCCAACTCACACCGAATCATTGGATCATCTGTTGAATTCAAATCTACACGGTGGATGGTTGCATTCTCGCAGACTCCGAAAACAGCAGATACGGCAACTCCCTTGAACTTACTACTGCACCAATGTGGACGCACCTCGATACTTAATGAAGTGCCCACACTCTGATGCATGAACCATGTTGGTATTTCACTTCCAGGAACAGCACTACTGAATCCAGCAAATGGTTCCTGTACAACAATAGGTACAACTTTTATCACATGTTTACTTTGCAGGAATATGTATGCAAGGTATGAGTATCATTCTCATCCGGACATATCATTCGTTTACTAACTCATAAGAATGAAAAAGTAAGTGGGTTCCTTGTTAAAATTATGTTTGCCAATCAGGTACTGATCAACCGCCCACCCCGCCTTGTTCATCCCATACCTTAAGAATCATGTGATGTGTGTGTGTGTGTGTGTGTGTGTGAGAGAGAGAGAGAGAGAGAGAGAGAGAGAGAGAGAGAGAGAGAGAGAGAGAGACCTGAGAATCAGCTTTCATTGATGATTGAAGATACTTTCTGAGCATGAGAAAGGTCAGGTTAATGCCTTCATTCCCTGCCAATCTATAGCAGTTAATAAAACTGAACCCCGCCCACACTGAACTGCCTGCAGACAATGGATTTGAAAACGTTTCCAGTGACGAACAATCTTGTGCCATTAGTTCTCTTACACTCGATGGAATGTCTGGCAATAATTGAAGCCTCTTGCAACCATTTAAGTTCAGTTCTGTAAGCTTTGTAAGTTGACTGATGCTTGCAGGTACACTAACGAAGTTGTTTCTATTCAGATTTAGCTTCACCAATGAGGTTAAGCAGCCAAGATCCGAGGGAAGCATTCCTTCTGATAGATTGCAGTCACTTAGATCAAGTTCCGTTAATGAATGTAAGCTTGACAAACAGGGAACCAGAAGCCCCGTAGAATCTTGACGTCCTCTCATGACCAATGTGGACCAAAGGGATGAAATCCACGGAGTAGATGGCAGTCCATTACATCCGCGGAAAGATAATAACTTAAGGTTCTTCAAGAGTTCAACGGAGGGCGGTGCTTCTCTTATAGCTGTTCCACCAATATCAAGATCCTCTAATGATTCTAAATGCCCCAAGTTATTGGGCAGTTTTTCAAGTTTTGAGCAACCAGATAATGCAAGAACTTTAAGAGACTCCAACGCACAAATGGAGCTCGGAAGATTCACAAGGCCTTTACAATCTCTCATACTTAAATATACAAGGCCGGGTATATGGTCAATTGTTGAGGGAAGTTCTCGTATAGCTGTACCATCTAATGACAGTTTGAACAAGTGTTCCATATTTCCGACAATCTTAGGGAACTTTTTGAGTTTTGTGCAACCGGAAAGAATGAAAATTCTAAGGGACTTCAGTTCTATGGAGCTTGGAAGACTTCGAAGACTTTTACAATCTTTCAGATTCAACAAAACAAGTCTTTTAAGCCCTGTGATGGATGGGTGAATTTTGGATAAACTTGTGCAACCTTTGAGGATCAGCCTCTCAAGGTTTGGGACTGCAGTAAAATCCGGGGTCTTGATGAGACTTTGAGAGTAACTTAGCTTAATGATTTTCAACTTCTCCAGAGGCTTCTATGAATCCAGAAGAAAGGGAAAAAAAAACAAAAAGAAAAGGAAGAGAAATTAAATTAGCATTTACTGATTTGCAAGCTTTTCGATGAAATCACATGTATAACAATCCATAGTACCTTTATAACTTTCCAGAGTTCTTCAATGCGGCTATTACACAAGCTAAGTTCGAAAAGTTTTTCTGGTTGGAAATTTGATGGGAGAGATCTTGAAGGATATCCATGCCATTTGAGAACTCTTAACTCATTCGAGAGATATGTAAGCTCTTCAGAAAGGTGCACATTACCTAATTTGAGCATCCGCAGTTTGTTCATCTTAGAGAAGGCCTCAGTGCTCGTGTGAACCTCTTCGTCTGCACGTGAAGTTAGGACTATGCCTTCAATGACTTCGGTACCCTAATTAACAAGAGAAAACATCAAGACAACTGCATGATATAGCAGACTAAGAAGAACAGATTATAGTTTTGCTTAGTTATACGTTAGTAACTGAATTCAAACTGCACCAAATCTCTTGCCTTATTATTCACTAGTACATCATAGACATCCTCGAAAAGCCACAACCTGCTGCGTTTTCCTGGCTCCTTACGAGATTCTTGGCGAACAATTTCCCAACCCATCTCTTGTAGTAAATCATGCATCCATAACATGTTATACGAAACACTTATGAGAGACTTATCAATTAATACTCTTATTCCAATATCTGAATGAAAGCCAAAGCTGTCAAGTATCTTTGTTACTCGAGCTTTGTTCTTCAACTTGAAGAAACAAGCGATATCTAGGAATATATTTCTCTCCATCTCCTCTAGTCCTTCGAAGCTTATTCTAAGTATTTCGAAAACTGTTATGTTGGGAACTTCTTTTAGTTTATCCGATGCACTTTTCCACTCAGATACATTCCTGCGAAACAGAAAGGACCCCAAAACTTCAAGCGCCAATGGAAGACCATTAGCATAATTTACGACAAGGTTGGAGAGGTCTAGATATTCTTTTTCCGGATGGTCTTTTTTAAATGCTTTCCAACTAAAGAGCTCAAGAGATTCATCTTGATCCAATTCCTTAGCCTTGTATATTTGATCTACTCCATGGCGAAGAAGCAAATGCTTGTCTCTAGTTGTTATGATGATTCTACTCCCCAAACCAAACCAATCATGTTTTCCTGCTAACTTTTCTAACTGTTCTGATTGATCCACATCATCAAGAATAAGAAGAACCCTTCTATGCCGCAGTCTGTGTCTTATTACACTGGAACCTTTGAAGACATCCCATACATTTACATTTGTTTCCATCAGGATCTCGGAAATCATTTGTCTCTGTAAAGAAACTAGTCCACACTTTTCGGAAACCTCTCTGACATTAGAAAGAAAGCTGCTGCCATCAAATTGGCCCCAGATTCTGTCATACAGAACGCGAGCAATAGTTGTCTTACCTATTCCTCCCATCCCGCAGATCCCTATAATGCGAACATCATCTAACCCTGTACCTAAGTATGTATTTATTTCCTCCAGACGAGATTCTATTCCAACTAGTTGTTAGTGTTTGATAGAGTGAATTCTAATGGAGAAAAGAATGAACTGAGAGAGAAGAAGTTGGTTGTTTCTTTTGTTCTGCAGCACCTCAGAAGAAGGACATTGTTTTCATTGAATGCCTCTATCTCTTGCACACAACGTGCAAGAAGAGATATATTGCTTTACAAAACTGAGCTGGATCAAAAACATTTAAAACAGATCTCAGCCACACATTTAGCTAATAGCTAAGATCATCACACATGGCACTCATGGCCTTTACATCTATATATCTTCTCACTTAGTATTTAACATAAGTGCATACACATATTAACATCACAGCTTATTTCTAATCAGCTATAGACTTATAATTCAACACTCCCCTTTAAGTCTAAAGCTGATTTCACTCCAAGTTTGCTTCTGAGAAAATTAAATCGATCTTTGGTGAGAGGCTTTGTGAAGATATCTGCCAATTGTTCTTCTGTGGGACAGTAGATCAGATCAATGATGCCTTCTTGTAGAGCATCTTTGATAAAATGAAACCTCCTGTCAATATGTTTAGTTTTCTGATGAAACACAGGATTCTTGGTGATTGCAATTGCAGCAGTGTTGTCACAATGCATTGGAGTTGCTTCAGTTTGTAACTCACCAAAATCTTCAAGAACAAACCGAAGCCAAATAGCTTGAGCAGTTGCCTCAGAGGCACTGATATACTCTGCTTCTGCAGTGGAGAAGGCTACACAATTTTGTTTCACCGAAGCCCATGAAAACACCCCACTGCCAAAAGAAAAAAGCATATCCAGAAGTACTCTTGCTATCATCAACAGATCCTCCCCAATCACTATCACAAAAACCAATCAACATTGCCTTCTTTCCCTTCACATACTCCAAGCCATAATCCAGGGTGCCTTTAATGTATCTTAGCACTCTTTTAGCAGTACCAAAATGCTTGTTTGTGGGGCTGTGCATGAATCTAGCAAGAAGACTGGAAGCATACATTATATCTGGTCGAGTGGCTGTAAGATATAGCAGACTTCCCACAATTCTTCTATATTGTTCCTCATTTGCTGATCCACTATCATCATCTTTACACAGTTTGTCTGAAGGAACAAGAGGAGTAGATACAGATTTGCATTCACTTAGGCCAAATTTGTTCAACAGAGAGACAACATATTTTCTTTGGTGAATGAAAATGCTAGACTGAGTTTGAATAATTCCCATGCCAAGAAAATGATGGAGAAGACCCAAATCAGTCATTTCATATTTGATCATCATATCTTCCTTAAATTCTTTCAATAGATCATTACTGTTCCCAGTATACACAATGTCATCCACGTAGATTGAAACAATCAGAATTTCATCTCCCCTTGTTTTGGTGTAAAGAGTAGCCTCACTTAGGCTTTTCATAAAACCACACTGTGTAAAATAGGTATCAATCTCCCCATACTAAGCTCTGGGAGCCTGTTTGAGACCATAGAGCTTTATGGAGTTTATACACTTTGTCTTCCTTTCCTGTGATTACAAATCCATCAGGTTGCTCTACAAACACCTCCTCTTCCAGAACACCATTAAGAAAAGCCGATTTTACATCAAGCTGATAGAGTTTCCAACTCTTTTGTGCAGCCAAGGCAATGAGAGTTCTGATTGTATCCAACCTAGCAACAGGGGCAAAAGTCTCATTATAGTCTATTCCTGGTTTCTGGGCATATCCCTTTGCAACAAGCCTAGCCTTGTTCTTTTGCACAGTTCCATCAAGGTTGAGTTTGGTTTTAAATACCCATTTAACTCCAATTATAGGCTTATTAGTTGGTCTGTCTACCAACTTCCAGGTTGCATTCTTCTCTGTCATGGAAAGCTCATCCTTCATAGCTTTCATCCAAGACTCATCCTTTGCAGCATCTTCATACTTTTCTGGTTCTATGATGCACAAATTGCACTGAGCAAGAACATCTTCCAGATTTCTCCATTTCAATGGAGTATGATCAAAAGCTTGTGAATCTCTCACATTTTCACATAATCTGCTAGAGAACTCACTTGACTGTGCTTGTGGAGTAATCTGAGCATCATCAGTATCCCTTAGAGTTTCTCTCAAATAACCTGGTGATGGATTATTTGAGACTTGAGTCTCATCATCTGTGAACTCACTCCTTGATATCTCAATTGACTGCCATTCATAATTAGGCATAGTCACCTGTTTATTTGAGCTTCCCTGCCAGTCCCAACTTGAATCTTCATCAATCACAACATCTCTTGACAATATCAACCTTTTGGAGAGTGGATCAAAAATTCTGTACCCTTTCTCACACTTAGCATAACCAACAAAAACTCCCTTTATACTTTTAGCTTCTAGTTTGTGCCTTAGCTCAGATGGAGTGTGAACATAACAGATTGAACCAAAAACTTTCAAATGAGCAATACCAGGTTTCCTTCCACTGTAGGCTTCAAAGGGGGTTATGTTGGCAAGAGATTTGGTAGGACATCGATTTAAAATGTAAACTGCAGTATGTACAGCTTCTGCCCACATATAGTACGGCATTCCTTTATCATGTAGCATAGACTTAGCCATTTCAATCACTGTTCTATTTTTCCTCTCAACCACACCATTTTGTTGTGGTGTGTATGCAAGAGAGAGTTGCCTTTGAATGCCTTCTGTGTCACAGAAATGATTGAACTCAGAAGACAAGAACTCCCCTCCTCTGTCACTCCTCAAGCATTTCACCTTTAAACCAGTTTGTAGCTCAGTCATTGCTTTAAATTTCTTGAAGCAAGAAAAAGCATCAGATTTATATCTAAGAAAGTATACCCAAATCATTCTTGTTGCATCATCCACAATCAACATAAAGTACTTGTTTCCTCCAGTGGATTCATTTCTCATTGGTCCACATAGATCAACATGAATCAATTCAAGTGGAGCACCTGCTCTTTGTGCTTGACCACTAGGAAAACTTTCTCTGTGTTGCTTACCATATTGACAGCCTTCACAGACTCTATCATACTCATCTAGATATGGTAGACCATGAACCATGTCTTTATCCTTCAATTGTTTGATTCCACCAAAATTTAGGTGACCTAATCTTCTGTGCCAAGTCAAAGAACAATGAGCAAGACTAGTCTTCAACACAAGTTGTTTCTCAGGCCTTAGAGATAGAGGATAGCACCTGTTTTCTTTCATTTTCACACGGATAATTTGACTTTCCAGAGAAGGACCATCAAAAACAGTACACATATGTCCACCAAACACAAGATAATATCCGTGCTCATCCATTTGTCCTACACTTAATAGATTCTCTTTCAAACCAGGTAAGTACATGACTTCTCTGATGTATTTCTTCCCTCTGTTAGTTTCAATTTCCAGTGATCCCATTCCTGCCACATTAACTAACACTCCTGTTGGCATTTGAACTTTCCCTGCAACATTTGTCTTCATATCAACAAGAAGATCAACATTCCCTGTCATATGATTACTGCAGCCACTATCTATATACCATTCCCCATTAACTTTTGTTTCAGCAATAGCACTATTTGCATAAAATAAGTTTCCAGTCATCTCCATTTGATTTGTACAGTTTGCTTTCTGAATAACTTTTCCAGCAGTACATTCTTTTGCCCAATGACCAAATTTATCACAGTTATAGCACTTGGATTTCCCTTTATGCCTACATTCACCATAATGAAATTTGGAGCACACTTTGCACTGAGGTTTTGTACCCTCTTGACCCATGGTTAGAGAATGAGAACTATTCTGTGCAGAATTAGAAAATGACTTTTGCTGAAACTTGGGTTTTGAGTCCCACTTTTTACCCTTTTGATTCCAATTTCTCTGTGGCTTAAAAGTACTAGGCTGAGCATAACTTCGATTCTGCCCTTTTGAATTAACAATAAGAGAAGAAAATGCTCTCTCAGTTGCATCAGAGGAATGCAAATCAAACCTCTGCTCTTGACTCTTCAATATAGCTAGTACTTCTTGCAGTTCAACAGTCTCTAAACATTTGGTATTTTCTATCACTAAACATATAGGATCATACATCTTAGTGAGACTAATTAACACCTTCTGAACTAATCTCTCATTTGATAGAGCTTCACCAAACGTCTTCATTTGATTAATCAGATCATTTAAACGAGTAAGATACCCAGTCAAAGATTCATCATCACGCATTCTAGCATATTCAAATTCACGTCTAAGATTCTGAAGTTTTACAGATCTAACCTGATCACCACCATGGTATTCCATACAAGAGATCCCATTCCATCTTAGCTGAATCAGCGTTAGCAATTTGAGGAAAGATCTGATCAGATACTGCATTTTGAATGATTCCTAGGGCCTTTGCATCCTTCATAGACATAGCAGTCATTTCTTCATCTACTGCATCGTCCGATGACCCTTCGGCTTCCTTCTTCTTCTTCGAGTCAGGGGTTGTAATCCCTTTCTCCACCAGGTTCCATAACCCAAGCGATTTGAAGATTGTTGACATCTTAATCCTCCAGAACTCGTAGTTCTCACCGGAGAAAATTGGAGTTCTCACCTCCGAGCTTCCAGATCCAGACATCTTGGTCCGACTGTTGATTTTCTCCTCAAATAGAACTCAGGCAACCTTCACCGAGCTTCGACTTAGCTCAGTGACTTCACACTTCACGCCCAGACTCAGTTGATCGGAACCGGCTCTGAGGCCATGTTAGTGTTTGATAGAGTGAATTCTAATGGAGAAAAGAATGAACTGAGAGAGAAGAAGTTGGTTGTTTCTTTTGTTCTGCAGCACCTCAGAAGAAGGACATTGTTTTCATTGAATGCCTCTATCTCTTGCACACAACGTGCAAGAAGAGATATATTGCTTTACAAACCTGAGCTGGATCAAAAACATTTAAAACAGATCTCAGCCACACATTTAGCTAATAGCTAAGATCATCACACATGGCACTCATGGCCTTTACATCTATATATCTTCTCACTTAGTATTTAACATAAGTGCATACACATATTAACATCACAGCTTATTTCTAATCAGCTATAGACTTATAATTCAACACTAGTTCCTTGGAAACTTGTGAGAATGTGTCACTCAGTTTACTCAATATTTCTTGAGAAATTTCACGGATAACTTCTGACTCGTGCCTGCAGGACAAGACAATTCTATGTTTTAAGCAAGCAGTAAGCACAAATCAATGAGTGAAAATATTCCGATGGGCAAAAACAAAAGTTTGATTACCTATCTTGCACATGCCATCCAGAGAGATTGGCTATCTCCGTCGTTGCAGCCCTCCATCTCTGCACCTTCTCTACATTTCCCTTGAAAGATTCTTCGTGAGCAGCAAACGCTTTCCCAAAACTCCCTGTTTGTCTGCGCACCTCAGACGGATCCACATCATAAAAAACAGGAAAAACTGTTTGTCCCAGTTCCTTCATGCATTCGCAAATCTTACTAAGCCCATCCAAACACCATGCTGAAGAAGCATAGTTTCGCGAGAAAATAACTACCGCAAACCTTGATTCTTCGATTGCTTTGAGGAGTTCCGGGGCAATGGATTTTCCTCTCCCAAGTTTGAGGTCGTCTCTGAATGTCATGATTCCTTTGAGGTCCAAAGCAGCATACAGATGGTCAGTGAAGTTCATGCGAGTGTCCTCGCCTCTGAAACTAAGGAAGATGTCATATGTGCATTGTGTTGGATGCGTTTGTATGCTACTGGAAGCCATTCGGAACTTAAGAGCTTCACGGATTCAAGCTAACGGAGACAAATCAGACACCATTGACGGAAAATTTCTTGTCAATCACAACTCATGGATCAGTGTAATATGCAGGTGAATTTCAACTTTGGGAATCCCTGTGAAAGTGGAAAATAAATAGTGATGAGAAATGCCCAGGCAAACCATTAAAGAGTTTATATAATATTCTCTAAAAGAGGTGATCCTAAGCCAACAAGGCTTCCCACTTTCTGAAGGTCGAAAAACATACCGTACGCAGCCTTACCATTACTTTGTAAAGAAGCTGTTTCCACGACTCGAGCCTGTGACCTTTTGGTCACAAATGAGCAACTTTCCCTTGCGCCAATCCTCACGTAAAGGGGGAAGTTATTCTTTTAATTTTTTTTGTTAAATCATGTCACTAATACACAACTTAACTCTGGATATAGTAATTCAGATGGTTCAAGTTGTCAAAAACTTAATTGAATATATATTTTTTTGTTTTATTTTGTTTTTTTTTCCTTTTTAATTTGGCAATCTCTTCATCATATACATTCGCGACTCGAACATTCAAATTTTGGATCACTGATTATACATTGAGTCTAGTTAGTGATCCAATCCAATCCAATCTTAGACATCAAACAAAGCCTATGGTTTCGAATTGAGAACACCCTAAAATGATGGTGTTTAGTTTTTGTTTCTGCTTGTGCAGATACGTAGTTGAGCTTGTTTGGAAGTGCTTTTAAAATTGTTGAAAGTGTTTCTCGTGAAAATGTTTTTAGAACTAATCCTTAGTAAAAATGCATGTAAATCTTGGAAACACTTAAAAGTGCTTAAAAGTGCTTCTTACATGGCACACCAGTTATATGCTTCTTACAGGAAGCACACTTATAGTACTTTTCGAACTAAAGTGCTTTCAATCATTTAAAAGCACTTAGAAACAAGCCAGTAATTGTTTCCATGGTCTTTGGGACATTTGAGCTTGTTATTGTTGTTGTTGCTATGTTTTGCCAAACACAATTTGCTCAAAACAGTTGAACTACAAAACATTCGAATGAGAGAAATTGAAAAGAAACATCAAAATTGAGGCAATCGAAAAACATATTTGATCTGTCTAGCTGCCTATTCAGAACACTGGCATATACATTGACAACACATTCAGAAACTAACATTCTTATATAGAATTCTGGCTCAGATTCACAAGAAACACGAAGCAGAACCAGTTTCTTCCTCTCTCTAACGGCATCCTTCGCCGTCAAACCACATTTCCCCCCACCGAAGTGAATCACACCCACAAAATTGCAAAAAAGAAGATGAAAACTCACAGCTGCATTCCATCAACTTGTCTTCCACGACCATTACAAGATCAAAAGATATGGGTCGAACAACGTGTAAACATGTTAGCTGAGAAGGGATATAATGCCGGAAGCCATTTTTCTTAATATGGAGCAACCAGAATCCAACGACCGCAATTATTTAGAGTCTTTGTCTTTAGACTTCTTTTGTTCAGAAACCCTTGCTCCTGTGATCTTACAAACAGGCTCATCCTTCGACTGGAGAAGCTTGAGATCTGGATGAACTTTGAGATCTCCCATTACTATCTTTTGGTTAACATCCAACTCGCTCAGATCCACATCAATATATGGAGGAATCACATCAGCAGGACAGAGGAACTTTACGGTCCTCTTGATCGTATTTAGACAACCATCTGCCAAATTGTAAAATGTCAACTCGTAAGATCATCAAAGCAATATGAATAACAATGCAAACTGATCGAAAGTAACCAAAACAGCAAACTAGATTCTAAGTACAACAAAAACCATAAAGTAAGACCCTTCACGTACTAAATTTACAGTACATAATATATATCTTAGAATTCGAAAAGTAAGCCATTATCAAATTCAAGTCTCCCTCTATAATTGAAACTCTAATTTACCACCCGCAAACTAATTTGCAACTAACATTCAGGTCCATGATTTGAAAATGATTATACATAACACAGAAAGCAATCTACCAAAATCAATAGGGAGAACCACCTTAAAAAACATAGACGCACTCGACTCTTGGAAATGGATGGTGAAAATTGTTTCCATAAAAGCGAAACTTTTTTCTTTTGACAAAATCCTTGTATAATCCCTGACAACTTCCGGGACTTTTCAACCTAATTTTAGTTACAGATTTGAGCCAATAACATGCTCCACAACAAAAGCTTCGTATGCTCAAACAATGATGTTAGGAATTACAGCTTTGAGACCAAAACTCCCAATCATTTCATAATCTCTTGCAAGAAACAATGACTTCCCACATAAATTCTCAAAGCATTCAAGATTTCAGAATGTTCCATATCCACAAAGGCTCATAATAATCCAGAACTACAATCTAAAATCTGATAGTATCTGAATGCTATGTTGTGTTCAAAACAAGCACCTACATTCTTCTTTTCCATATACGTCTAAACATAAAAAATCGAGGAACACAACAACGGAATTATGAGAAAGGAACAGTGGGATATAATCCAAATGAGACCAAGTATCATATTTTGCTAACTACAATAGTTTGTTATATGCACAACAGAATGGTGGCAATGTTGAATCAAAGCATGGCATACACAACAAGAGGATAGAAACAGACAGTGCAAGCGGAAATTCGCAACAACGGAGTGAAACAAATGAAATCCCATACAACAGATAGAAAAAAAGGTGGTTTCTTTTACTTTTCTTCAATCCAGGAGAGACATCATCTCCTCGAAATACAAGAGGTATCTCGACTTTCAACAAAGCATGGGAAGGAGCCCTTATGAAGGTCACATTCAGGGGTGCGTCCGTCGCAGAGTGCAGATGAATCTAACAAAAAAACACAACATTTGATAAACCCTAACAGCAAATTAAATTAAATTCATTTGGATTAAATTTGTTGAAGTTATTAGAGACTGCAGAGTGTAAGACTACATACCGAGCGAGGCAAAACGCGGACCCGTTCAACGACGTCGTTTTCAGAGTCGAAGTCGGAGCGAACCTCGAGGTCGAAGAGCCTGGAGAGGAAGAAAGAGCGGCCGAGATGACCAACGAGCTTGCGGATCTGGTTGGTCCGTACAGAAATGAGGCGCTTGTTGCCTCCGTGCTGGCCGTCCTCCTGCTCGAAAATGATGCTGGGGACGCGGCCGGCCTTGCGCTCTTTGGCGGAGATGCTCTTGCCGGACGTGGTGCGTGGGATTGCGAAGATGGTCTCGGCGTACTTCGGGTCGGGTATCGGGAAGGATGTGGTGGATTCGAGGTCGCGGTCGAGTTCGGGGTCCGGGTGGAGGAGGGCGGCGGCGGATGATTGGGTGTAGCGGCGGAGTTGGACTTGGAGTGCTTGCGTGAGGACGGCGGCGCGCTGCCTCTGGAGGAACATTTTGGAGTGGTGGCCCACTGAGGACTGAGGAGAGTTGGAGAGGAAATGAAATGTTTGGGGTTTAGGAGGGTTTTTCCGTTGAGTCCACAGGCGAATTGGGGGATTTATTTTCCGTGGCTGGAGACGTAAAAATAAATAAAAATCAGGAAATTAAAAAAGAAACAAAACTTCGAGTTCGAATTACATAGTTTTGCGCTCATCATCATAAAGATCATAAAAAAATGAATAAAAACTAAAATTATTTAGTTAATTTATTATAGCAAATACAAAGACATAACGGTTCGTAATAATTTTATTAATTTGGTTTATTTGTTTCTATACAGTTTGATGAGTAAACGATCTATTTTTGCAGAGACGATCTTTATAGTGATTTATAATATGAAAGAAAGAACGATTCCAATGAAGATAAAAGCACGCTCCGTTGGAGAAAAAAATACAGACAGCATCATGAATCCTTTTAAGTGTATGAGAAGGTAGGGGAAGAAGAAGAAGAAAGCGCCTTTGGAGAAGACATACATAAAGCATAAATCCATTTCATATCCAGTACAAGACTGCAGTTAAAACTCATCACATGTAGAATCTAACATCCTACGACAGACAAGAAATTGTAAGGTTCGCTGGTGCAAAAATTACCTACATCGTTCCTACCGTGTTCTATACAGCTCTCTACAGATTCCTTCAAGGAGGCAGTTCAAGTTAGTGTGACCTACCTCAGCAGTTACAGAATTCAACCTAAGCCAACTGAAAATAGCAGACGCCATAGTCAATATGACACTCTATGTCAGTCACTACCACTTAAGAAAACCTACTCGATCTGTGCTCCCCACGACATTCTCATCTATGGAGTCTGGTTCACTTCCCCCAGTTTCATCTGAACTCTCGCTTGGAAGGAGTTGTATGCGATCAGCATGCTCGATGAGCCAATTAGGGACTTCAGGAGATGCTGCCCATTCTGCTATAGCTTGGCGGGTAGATTCATGTGTGAAATCATCCCACTCTTTCCTTGTGAACTTCTTTCTGTTCTGCACCTTGTGGAAGGTTGAATAGTACTCCTGTTGGTTAGGTGCCCTGGAAGATGGGGACATGACACCTGCAACAAACAGAAACAAATAGCATAATTTAAAGTGTACAATGGTATGCTGACCATACACGCCTACACTCTTGCCTGATATATAAAGCTGAAAAGGGAATGGATATTCTGCATTTGGCATGTCGACTCAGTTTTTTCTAAACAGGTGGCAGAAAAAACTCTTTGTTAAAAGTACATAACAAAACAACTACCGAGTACCTGCAACGGCAAATCAGTCAAGATATGCATAAACGTAACAGCACATTAAATAAAATTACCTGTAACAGGAGAGTCAGACCAAGCAGATAGACTCCTTCGGCTGTTCCAATTCTTTCTTGTGGACTAGACCTGCTAAGAAATTTTGGATGACTTTGTCTACCCTTGACCTGTTTTCCCTTCGGCAGACAAGGACTCCCACTCCCAGCATCCGACTGATGACTGCATGGAATGATGGTAAAATGTTTTAATGTGACAAAACCCTTTATCAATGATCAGGGGACACATCCATTCATCTAACTGAGCTTTCTTGGACTGCTAATGTTTACCTTCCAAATACAAAACCTAGCCAAGAAATCTAAACTTATTTCAAGAAAAACATAGCACCACACAAAAAGTTAAAAATTATTTCGGCTAAAACGCATTCACTTCCGTAATACCAAGAAGTATGCAGGTAAAGAATGTATTACTTACGATTTGAGATGCCATTTCAGAGAAGTAATCAACTTGCTGATAATCCAGTAATTAACCAACGCGCCCATTGCTAAAGGAGTATCGAGAGTGCTCTGAGAAAATGAAAAGAATCAATAACCAAATATTTTGGCAATTACATCAAATTATAAACTAACTTTAACATAAGATTACTGAATAACCAATTCAGTCATAAGTGCATGTGGGTCCGTAAGACAAATATAAATAAGAAAAGGGTTTGAAGAAACATTGTCCTAATGGTGCCAGGCAATAAATGGTGTGTCTATGATCTAGGAATTGATCCTCCAAGGAACAAGTAATAGACAAGAAACACAATCTAGGTGTATTGCACTTGGCTATGGGAAGTGACATGTGGTATATGTCTACTGAGCATTGAGTGTCCAATAATCTACTAGCTAAATCTTAGGACACAAAGACATGGCCCTATAATCCAACAATTCCAATGATTCTCCTTTGACACATATCGGCTATAAAAAGTCCCTCAAATAATTTTAGCAAGGTACATAAAGTACCATTACAAATTTCTACCCCACATAGTTTAATTAAGCAGGCAAACATTTGGACTCGAATATCAAGAATACAGCCAAAAGGAATGTGAGAGAACACCTGCAAGATGGAGGTTGTTCCAATGATACGCATAGCCCACTTGACAAATTGTGCTATACCAACATCTACTGTCCCATCTTTTGAGACAACAAACTTCCTCACAATCCAGTACCCTAATGCAGCTCCCGTGAGGATAATTCCCACTAGTAAAAATATAGAGACCTGGCAGAAAAACACGAGAAGACAAGACAATAAAGTGATCCAAAGACAAAGTATCAGAAACAGATAATTTGTCTAGATATTTATGAGAATTTTGCGAATATAAGATTTAGGGAACCAATACTCACTGGGTTATGCATCTCTTCACTTAGCCCAAAACTCAAAAGAATTGAATTTACCATCAGTGAAAACTGATGAACAAGGAAAGATCCTGCTCCAAGCTGTCAAAGGCATATAAATTGTAAGAATTACTTGTACTGTCAATTACATGAGGTTAATAAGTTACCATGAAGCAACGGTAAACTTCAAGACACTAAGTGTTACCACTGATCCATATATGGTAAGATAGAGGACATTTTTCCTTCCAGTTGGCAACAGCTTCATTCCCTGAAAGATTAAAGACAAACAATGATGCAAAACATTACCTACAAATTTGCAAGCTAAAACTGCAGGTGAAAGATAATGATCACAAAACCCTGTAATTACAATTCATTTTAGAGGAGATCTGAAATTCAAACTACCCAATGAAAAACTAAGAGCATGCAAGTCAAACGAAAATACATCGGAATTAAAAAAGATAAATTACCTGGAAGAGAATGATTATAATGACCAGAAAAACTCCTATAACCATTGAACTGGTATAATAAAAAGGTACCCAATTGCTGACAATTGGTGCCAACAACAGTAAAGTAAATCCCAGTGCCAGACACACAAGGCGCCATCTCTGAAAATCTGTACAGACAAAAATAGATAACTATCAGAGCCTGCAAATTGTAGCATAAGCAATTATAGTCAGCCACACTTTTATTTTTATCAGACCTTCTTCAACAGTTATGGTGACAGAGCCAGGTATTTTGCCAATGAACTTGACATCGACATATCTTTCATCATAAGGCGACAAGACAGAGCTCCATAACCCTTTCTGAATATTTTTCCAATCATCCTCTTCACACTGACATAATCCAAGCGTATTATTCCTGTAAAAAATTCATGAGTGAGACAAAACAATCCACAGAAAAAAGGTGTGCATGTGTGTGTGAGTGCAACTAGAGAAAATGAGCATGGGAAAGAGAAACACAGAGAGGGAGGGAGGGGTAGCATATGGTGCACTCATAACTCAGTCAATAAAACACAACTATCCTTAAACAAAAAAACAGAATGATTGTAACAGTAAAGATGAGACATTTCACTCACCTATGAAAACAGACTTGAATTTTGCTATGCAACCTCTCCGGGATTGCAACAGATGTAGACAAGGTGATCTTAAGTGAACTTGCATAACTCCCAAGTTTTAATCTGGATATACCAGAAACTCGTGCCCGTTCACAAAATATAACATCTTTAGAACCAGGCACAGCTGAGTGCTCAGAAAGAGGTGCCGGGATGACTTCTAGTACTGGGTCTTCAATATCAACACCTGTGATTTCAACATTGGTAAATGTTAGTTTCAATATGCAAACAAAACACCGTAGTACACGAGATATTTCGAACTCTTCAAAGTTAAAATCCCTAAAATTATAATAGACATACTGTCTAGCTATAGCAGATTAAAAACTCAAAATCAAAGCGACATTGAGCGGTAAGGTGCAACATATGTTATCAGACCAAACCCAAAATGGTATCACGCTAAACAACAATATTGAAACTAACATTCCACTTTAAAGGCCAAAAAGTCGACATTTTTTGAAACCCTAACGGGCTAACAACTTGACATTTCCCTCAAGCATACAGCAACCGAAATAAACCCTGAAGAGGCATAACGAAACCCTAACCCTCTATCTGCCTTACAGGTAAGGAAACAACAAAAGTGAGACTAAAACGTAATAATTTTCACAGCAAATAAATGCAGAGCAAGTCAAAGTGCAAGTTTTTCTCTCTTAAAATGGAAATAAGTAAACAACCCACATACTCAAAACATCAAAAAAAAAATTTCACTGATTTTCCTAAAATTTTCTCGGGAAACAAACAGGCGGCGACGAGCAATTCTGAACAAAAATTGACAAATAGAGATAGATACCTTTGAGTTCGGTGGCAGGTGAGAGGGTCGGAAGAGAGAGACAGAAAGCAAAGAGAAGAAGGAGAATGGCGGAGAAGAGAGAAGAGCCCATTGCATCGCACACTCGCTACTCTCTCTCTCTGTGCGTTCCGAGAACGTTTTGGCTCTAAAAAGTGTCCATTTTTTATGTTTCAAATTCCAAATTTTAAAGAAAGATTTCTTATCGAGGGAGTAAAATCATCAGGTTTTGGGCCTTGAAGAAAAGGTCTTGGATATTCGCTGCCCCAAAGGCACCGTGGCCTTCGGGCTTTTCTTATCCTTCATCTCATAGGCACCGATAGAAAACACACGCTAGTTTCACTTAAGAAATTGCATATAGAAGTAAACTTCACAAAATTGAAACTCAATATGGAACAAGACTCATATTATGAGGAAAAATGTGAGTAAATGTAATCAGTCAAAACTTAACATCTTTAGGACGTAAGTAGAACACACACAAGGGGTAGTTAAGGCCAACTTAGAATGGGTGCCTCGTCAAAATCTTGTCAGGCAAAAATACCCAGTTGGACAAAATGATCCTGATCGTAGGAAAAATAATATATTAATATCAAAGCAGCCATTGGCCGACATTGGTGAGGGTGTTGAAGGAATACAAAGCAGCCATTGGCCGACATCAAGGGTATAAGTCCTACAACTTGCATGCATCGTATACTCTTAGAGAATGGGGCTAAACCATCTCGAGAAGCTCAACACCGACTCAACTTCAATGATGGAAGTAGTGAAAAATGAGATTATCAAGCTACTTGATTGTGGAGTGATCTATCTAATCTCTGATAGTCGTTGGGTTTCACCGATCTAAGTTGTTCCCAAGAAATCTAGCGTCACTGTGGTGAAGAACGAAGAGAATGAACTTGTGCCTACCCGTATCCAAATCGGTTGGAGAGTCTGTATTTATTATAGGAAGCTCAACGCCACCACAAGGAATGATCACTTTCCTTTGCCATTTATTGACCAAATGCTTGAAAGGTTAGCTGGTTATGCATTTTATTGATGGTTAATCAGGTTATAATCAGATTGTCATAACACCGGAAGATTAAGAAAATACCACTTTCACGTGCCCATTTGGTATATTTGCTTATCGTTGCATGTCATTTGGTTTATGCAATGCACTAGCCACATTTGAAAGATGCATGGTAAGTATTTTTTTCAAATTATGTTGAACAGATCATTGAAGTCTTTATGGATGATTTAGTGTTTTTGGTAAGTCATTTAATGATTGCTTGGCTAATCTCACCTTAATCTTGAAACGATGCATTGAAACTAACTTTGTTTTAAATTGAGAAAAATGTCATTTCATGGTAAAATAAGTCAAAAATAGATCTTGTACGCTACTTACCCTCTCCCACTTCGGTGAGAGAGGTTCATTCTTTTATTGGACATGCAGGATTTTATAGGCGATTTATCAAGGACTTTCCAAAAATTGCACAACCCATTTGTCGTCTCCTTCAAAAGGAGGTGCACTTTGACTTCAACGAGGAATGTGCGAAGGCTTTCAAACACCTCAAGGAGATGCTCACTTCGGCCCCTATCATAATTCCACCAGATTGGAACCTTCCTTTTGAGCTCATGTGCGATGCCTCAGATTATGCAATTGGAGCTATTTTAGGCCAAAGGAAGAACATGCAGCCACATGTCATCTACTACGCTTCCCGGACCTTGAATGATGCTCAATTGAACTACTCCACCACTGAAAAAGAACTCCTTGCTATTGTGTTTGCATTAGATAAGTTTCATTCTTATTTAATTGGCACTAAAGTCATTGTTTACATTGATCATGCATCTTTGAAGTATTTGCTCACAAAGAAAAAAGCCAAACCAAGGCTTATTTGCTAGATGCTTCTTCTTCAAGAGTTCGATATTAAAATTAGGGACAAGAAAGGGAGTGAAAACGTAGTGGCTGACCACCTGAGCCGTTTGGTGCACAATGAGGAGTCCTTACCTATCCCAGAAACGTTCCCAGATGAGCAGTTGTTGTCCATTGAGGTAAGTGAACCATGGTATGCAGATTTGGTGTCTAAACAAGCACCAACGTGATAAACTTAAAAAGGATGCACAATTTTATGTTTGAGATAACCCATATTTGTGGAAATATTGCCCTGATCAGATTTTACGTAGGTGTGTGCATGAGTCCGAATTTCATTCAATTTTAACTTCATGTCACACTTATGCATGTGGGGGTCATTTTGGCACCCAAAGAACATCACTTAAGGTTCTTGAATGTGGATTTTATTGGCCTACTCTATTTAAGGATGCTAGAACTTTTTGCATAACGTGTGATCGTTGTCAAAGAACAAGAAACATAGGTGTAAATGACCAAATGCCGCAGACCCCTATCTTTAATGTCGAAATTTTTTATGTGTGGGCCATTGATTTCATGGGTTATTTTCCTTCTTCTTATGGTTTCACTTATATTTTGCTTGCGGTTAATTATGTCTCGAAATGGGTGGAAGCAAAAGCCACCGATACTAATGATTCTAGAGTGGTTGCAGATTTCATCAAAACCAACATCTTTTCCAAATTTTGGATGCCGAGGGTGATCATAAGTGATGGAGGCTCCCATTTTTGCAATCGGACCATTGAGGCGCTGTTCAAGAAGTATAATGTCAAGCATAAGATTTTGACACCTTACCATCCTAAAAAAAGTGGGCAAGCCAAGGTTTCAAATAGAGAAATCAAGCAGATTTTGGAGAAGATCGTGGGACCAACTAGGAAAGATTGGAGCATGTGTTTGGATGATGCGCTGTGGGCGTATCGTACAGCCTACAAAACACCACTTGGGATGTCTCCATTTCGGCTAATCTATGGTAAACCATGTCATCTCCCTGTGGAATTAAAGCACAAAGCACATTGGGCTGTCAAGACATTCAATTTGGACATAGATGCGGCTGGAATGCATAGGAAGCTCTAATTGAATGAACTTGAGGAAATCAGGAACGAAGCGTATGAGAATGCTCGTATTTACAAGGAGAAAACCAAGGCATTCCATGACAAGATGATTCGTGGCAAGACATTCACCAAATGGCAGAAAGTGTTGCTTTTCAACTCCCGCCTACGTTTGTTTCCCAGTAAGTTACGTTCTAAATGGATTGGTCATTTTGTTATTACTAATGTTTTTCCTTATGGTGCAGTCCAAATTCAAAGCTTAAGGAACAACCAAGAATTCAAAGTGAACGGGCACCGTTTGAAGCCCTATTATGAGAATGTCGAGGGGCAGGTTGTGGAGGATGTACCCCTCCATGCCGTGGGCTCCGATGAAGTCTGAATTGAGGTATTCGTTCGGCTGGAAGACGTTAAAGCAAGCGCTTCTTGGGAGGCAACCCATGCATTCAACTAGGGAACAATGGAATTCTTACTCCAAAACCAGATTTGTGTTCCTAGACCCTTCTCTTTACTGCATTTATTTTGCCATGCTTAGTTCGTTGTTTGCTTTTGTATGAGTCTATGTTTGAAACATTGAGGACAATGTTTGGTTTAAATGTGGGGGGTTAAACAAATGCTTTTCATTGAATTTTCGTGGGATTTATTCACCTATCACTTCTAATGTTGTTAATCACTGTGTTAGTGAGTTTTGAAGTGTTTTTGTGTCATATAACAGAAAAAAAAATCGAAAAAAAAAGTTTTGAAAAATATCAAAAAAGAGTCGCTTTTGTGTGTTTGTGTCTTAGGGTACCTTTCAACACAATGCTAAGGATTTGGTTTTTAATTACATGACTGTTAAAGAAAGTTACAAACATGGGTGAAAGTTTGATATTTTTCAAACACACAAAAATGACTCTTTTTAATATTTTTCAAAACTTTTTTTTTCGATTTTTTTTTCTTTTATATGACACAAAACACTTCAAAATACATTAAAACAGTGAGTAACAACATTAGAAGTGATAGGTGAAAATTCAATGAAAAGCATTTGTTTACCCCCCCCCACACTTAAACCAAACATTGTCTTTAATGTTTCAAACATAGACTCACACAAAAGCAAACAACGAACTAAGCATGGCAAAATAAATGCAGTAAAGAGAAGGGTTTAGGAACGAAAATTTGGTTTTGGAGTGAGAATTTCATCGTTCCCTAGTTGAATGCATGGGTTGCCTCCCAAGAAGCACTTGCTTTAACGTCTTGCAGCCGGACGAATACCTCTATTCAGACTTTATCGGAGCCCACGGCATGGAAGGGTACATCTTCCACAACCTGCCCTTCGACATTCTCATAGTAGGGCTTCAAATGGTGCCCGTTCACTTTGAATTCTTGGTTGTTCCTTAAGCTTTGAATTTGGACTGCACCATAAGGAAAAACATTAGTAATAACAAAAGGATCAATCCATTTAGAACGTAACTTATCGGGAAACAAACGTAGGCGGGAGTTAAAAAGCAACACTTTCTGCCATTTGGTGAAGATCTTGCCACGAATCATCTTGTCATGGAATGCCTTGGTTTTCTCCTTGTAAATACGAGCATTCTCATACGCTTCGTTCCTGATTTCCTCAAGTTCATTCAATTGGAGCTTCTTATGCATTCCAGCCACATTTATGTCCAAATTGAATGCCTTGACAGCCCAATGTGCCTTGTGCTCTAATTCCACAGGTAGATGACATGGTTTACCATAGATTAGCCAAAATGGAAACATCCCCAGTGGTGTTTTGTAGGCTGTACGATACGCGTACAGTGCATCATCCAAACGCATGCTCCAATCTTTCCTAGTTGGTCCCACGGTCTTCTCCAAAATCTGCTTGATTTCTCTATTTGAAACCTCGGCTTGCCCATTTGTTTGAGGATGGTAACGTGTCAAAACCTTATACTTGACATTGTACTTATTGAACAACGCCTCAATGGTCTGATTGCAAAAATAGGAGCCTCCATCACTTATGATCACCCTCGGCATCCAAAATCTGGAAAAGATGTTGGTTTTGATGAAATATGCAACCACTCTAGAATCATTAGTACCGGTGACTTTTGCTTCCACCCATTTCGAGACATAATCAACCGTAAGCAAGTTATAAGTAAAACCATAAGAAGAATGAAAATGACCCATGAAATCAATGCCCCACACATCAAAAATTTCGACATTGAAGATAGGGGTATGCAGCATTTGGTCTTTTGCACCTATGTTTCTTGTTCTTTGACAACGATCACACGTTATGCAAAAAGTTCTAGCATCTTTAAATAGAGTAGGCCAATAAAATCCACATTCAAGAACCTTAAGTGATGTTCTTTGGGTGCCAAAATGACCCCCACATGCATAAGTGTGACAAAAAGTTAAAATTGAATGAAATTCGGACTCATGCACACACCTACGTAAAATCTGATCAGGGCAATATTTCCACAAATATGGGTCATCCCAAACATAAAATTGTGCATCTTTTTTAAGTTTCACATTGCTCCTTGTTTAGGGCGCTTGGAACTTGTTTAGACACCAAATCTGCATACCATGGTTCACTTACCTCAATGGACAACAACTGCTCATCTAGGAACATTTCTGGGATAGTTAAGGACTCCTCATTGTGCACCAAACTGCTCAGGTGGTCAGCCACTACGTTTTCACTCCCTTTCTTTTCCCTAATTTCAATATCGAACTCTTAGAGAATAAGCATCCAGCGAATAAGCATTGGTTTGGCTTTTTTCTTTATGAGCAAATACTTCAAAGATGCATGATCAGTGTAAACAATGACTTTAGTGCCAATTAAATAAGAATGAAACTTATTTAATGCAAACACAATAGCAAGGAGTTCTTTTTCAGTGGTGGAGTAGTTCAATTGAGCATCATTCAAGGTCCGGGAAGCGTAGTAGATGACATATGGCTGCATGTTCTTCCTTTGGCCTAAAACAGCTCCAATTGCATAATCTGAGGCATCGCACATGAGCTCAAAAGGAAAGCTTCAATCTAGTGGAATTATGGTAGGGGCCGAAGTGAGCATCTCCTTGAGGTGTTTGAAAGCCTTCGCACATTCCTCGTTGAAGTCAAAGTGCACCTCCTTTTGAAAGAGACGGCAAAGGGGCTGTGCAATTTTTAGAAAGTCTTTGATGAATCATCTATAAAATCCTACATGTCCAAGAAAAGAACGAACCTCTCTCATCGAAGTGGAAGAGGGTAAATAGCGTACAAGATCTATTTTTGACTTGTTTTACCATGAAATGACATTTTTCTCAATTTAAAACAAGGTTAGTTTCAATGCATCGTTTCAAGATTAAGGTGAGATTAACCAAGTAATCATCAAATGACTTACCAAAAACACCAAAATCATCCATAAAGACTTCAATGATCTGTTCAACATAATCTGAAAAAATACTTACC